AGGGGCTGTGTGATAAAAATATTCCATATTAATTAAGTATGATTGACTGATCACTATTGAGCAACTCAAAACATTTATAGATAGTTAAGATGGCACCGGAAAGCATATAAGCACACATAGCACATATTACTAGATGCAGGCTTGAAGGCCACAATTACTAGATGCAGGTTTGACGGCTTTATGCCACAGCTATTAAGAGCTGACACAGCACTACAGCTGTTTACTAAGCTAACACAGCACTATAAGCTGGCACAGCACTTCAGCAGTTTGAGAAACTTATGTTGCCATCAAAAAACTTATGTTGCCATCTCTAGAACAGTACAAAGAAAGCTTGTAGATTAGAGATAATTAACCGCACAAGACTTGGCATGAGTTCTGGTGGTCCTGAACAGTCTGGCCAACTGCCGGGTCCATCCAGCTGCTTGTATCAAGGTCTTTTGCTGGGCTGCACTGATAAGGAACTACTGACTGTCCTTGAAGACAGGTATATAAGACTAAGGGAATCTTGAGCTCCCTTGGAGAACTACGCACCTGTAATGCGGACGCGTGTGACTGGTTTCTGCTGTTCCCAGAAGAGAGGGTCTCTCTGAGTGACTGCATGAGTTCCCCCCCAGTCACGTGTGGCAAGGAGACAACAAGCTTCTCTAATGGTGATGTATACTTAAGCTGATATATCTAGATACTAAGCTGTTTGAAGTAAATGCATGCAACTACTTAAATAAGAGAAAAACTTACTTTGCTTAGATCCCTTTGTGGATAATTAAGTGTAGTGTGAATTCTTCTATTCAACTTGGTCTCTGTGTGATTTCTCTTTCCTATAACTCAATGTACTCTATCCGAACTGGGTTGTGTGCCCGCCAATATTGCTATAAACCTTATTAGGTATTGATTATTACTTTTTGGATATTGGTGCTTCATGAATTTAATGATTAGACACAACAGACTGGTGCATGGAAAGAGAGAAGAGACTCAAGAAAACGGTAAGTTGGAGCAGAAATAAAAGTGGATTCTTGAGGAGGAAGAGGTTCAAAGATGGTTAATGGAGGCAGAGGTAAAGCTGGGGGTTAGGAGAGAAGGAAGTGGAGCAATAGTGAGAAATTAAGGGGTGACAAAGGCAGGTGTGTGGGGTAAATAATGACATTTTTTTCTATATATATATATATATATATATATAAGAAACAAGGGGGGTTGGCTGCACTCACCTGAACATGCATAAATGGGGGTGCTGCTGGGGGCCAAATAATACAAAACACAAGATCCAGCGCACTCACCTATCCACTAAACGGCAACTTGAATGTTGAAAGATTTTATTAGTTTTTTTAAAAAACACCTAATCTAGGCAAAAATAATGGGGGTTTAGTTACATTATATGATCATACATTGCACAAGCCTGCCACAACGTCAATGTACCCCATCTTTGGCAGGTCCTACACTAACAGCCTAATGTCTGCTCTTATGAGATTAACCACTTACTTGAGGAAAAAAATTCCATCTGGGGCTCTCTGCAGTACAAGGCTAAATAGGGCCCTGGGATGAGGCACCTGTGACAGGGAGGGGTGCAAAACCAAGGAGTTGGCTAGACTCCCAAATATATATAGAAGAAACAAGGGGGGTTGGCTGCACTCACCTGAACATGCATAAATGGGGGTGCTGCTGGGGGCCAAATAATACAAAACACAAGACTAAAACTAAACACCCATTATTTTTGCCTAGATTAGGTGTTTTTAAAAAAACTAATAAAATCTTTCAACATTCAAGTTGCCGTTTAGTGGATAGGTCAGGGCCGGATTAACATAGGGGCTGATGGAGCTGCAGCTCCAGGCCCAGGCCCATGGAATAGGCCCATTTAAAAAAAAAAAAAAAAAAAAAATTATTATTTTTTTTACACTACTCTTAGGTTTGCCACCTGACTGGTATTTTAATGGCACAGATGGGTATTTGAGGCTGCCTGGCCTGTGATATTGCAGTAATACCGGCAATACAAATGCAGGTAATTTTCTCAGAATAAATGGAAATTACTCTGCAATACCAGCACCGGCCAGTAGGGGTCACTGTGTGTGGGGACAGGCAGGGATAGGAAGTTACAGAATATCCCTGCCTCTCTCTACTACTCACTGATCAGTGGGGGAGCAGCTACACAGCACAGAGAGTCCAGACAGCAGCTGTACAGCTCAGGTAAGTGAGGGATGGGGGGAAGGCAGCGGGGACACTGAGACACTAGGGGACACAGACACCAGGGGACACATGATGACACATACACTAGGGGACACTGAAACACTAGGACACAGACACTGGGAGACCTGGGAACACTGAGACACTCGTGGACACTTCAAAACATGGGGACACTGAGACACTTGGGGACATGGGGACACAGACACTAGGGGACACATGGGAACACAGACACTAGGGGACACTGAGACACTAGGACACATGGGGACACAGACACTGTGAGACCTGGGGACACAGACACTTGGGGACACTGGAAAACATGGGGACACTGAGACACTAGGGGACACATGGGGATGCTGAGACACATGGGGATGCTGTGAGACATAGGGACATTGGGAGACATTGGGACACGGAGACACTATGTCCCCCAGCCAGTGTCCCTAGTGTCCCCAAGTCTGCCAGTGTCTGTGTTCCATGTCTCTCAGTGTGCCTAGTGTCCCCATGTGTCCACAACTGTCCCCATGTCTCCCCAAGTATCTGTCTCCCAGCCAGTGTCCCCTAGTCTCCAAGTATCCCCTAGTCTCCCAGTATCCCCTAGTCTCCCAGTGTCTGTGTCCCTAGTGTCTTAGTGTTCCCAAATGTTTCAGTGTCTCCATGCCTCCCAGTGTCTGTGTTCTTAGTGTCTCAGTGTGCCTGGTGTCCCCATGTCTCCCAGTGTCCCTATATGTCCCAGTGTCCACATGTCTATGTCCACAACTGTCCCCATGTCTCCCAGTGTCCCCAAGTGTCTGTCTCCCAGCCAGTGTCCCCTAGTCTCCCAGTGTCCCCTAGTCTCCCAGTGTCTGTGTTCCCATGTCTGTGTCCCTAGTGTCTTAGTGTCCCCAAATGTTTCAGTGTCCCCATGTCTCCCAGTGTCTGTGTCCCTAGTGTCTCAGTGTCCCCATTTCTCCCAGATTCCCTAAATGTCTCAGTGTCCCCATGTTTCCCAGTGTCCCCATGTCTCTGTGTTCCCGGGTCTCTTAGTGTCCCCATGTCTCTCAGTGTCCCCAGTATCCTAGTGACATGGGGACACACTGAGACATTGGGACACTGGGTGACATGGGGACACTGACACTGTGATACATAGGGACACTGAGACACAGGGTGACTTGTGAGACTGAGACACTGGGAGACAGGGAGACAATGGGAGCAATCCATCTATACAGCAGAATCAAACTGGGAGTAGTTTGTTGGTGATTTTACAGAATTTTCTCTGATGTCACTCCTTGTGATTTACACGCATAACTAATTAATTATACAAATGATTAAGGCTGGTATTTTTTTTCCAAGAAAGGTGGCAACCTTAACTACTCTTCACATACTCTTGCTTAAAGGAGCACTATAGTGTCAGGAACACCATCATGTATTTCTTATCCCATTATGTTAAAACCACCACCCTGGCCCCTTCTTCCCTCCCTAAATATAGTAAAATATTACTTGTATTCAATTCTGCAGCTGCTGGCTCGGAAGTGGTGGTCTGAGCAAATTACAATACTTCCCCATAGGATTCGCTGAGACTGTCAACTAGGCAGATCAGGGGCAGAGCCAGCACAAGTCCAACATAGCCCTGGCCAATCAGCATCTCCTCATAAAGATAAATTGAATCATTGCATCTTTATGAGGAAAGTTCAGTGTCTGCATGCAGAGGGTGGAGATCCTGAATGGCAGTGCTGCATACTAGGCAGTGCTGCCCCAGGAAGCACCTCTAGCAGCCATCTAAGGAGCGGCCAGTGGAGTTATTTTCTCTGAAAAGACAGTGTTTACTGCAAAAAGCCTGAATGGAATGATTCTACTTACCAGAACAAATACAATAAGCTGTAGTTGTTCTGGTGACTATAGTGTCCCTTTAAGTTTGGAAGCTTAAGAGGGATGTTTGGGAACAAAACTTGTGTGCATTGGCTGACATTAAAGTTAGTTTAGGTAATGCAGACGTTGGTCTCTCTAACACTGTGGCATGTCCCCTTTCTTCTACACTCACTACAGACACCTTTTCTCTGTCTCAGACTATACCAGGAACTTCTGCCTGCTAGTAAGAAGGTAAGGAGACAAGTGGACCAGCGAGTGCTAGGGGACAGTCCTTAGAAAGAATGGAGTGAGTGCATCATTAGATGCATTTATGTAAAGCGTAAGGTGCTGCCTGCATAGTATGCCCTTAGTTGGACAGCCTGCAGGATTGGCGGGCAGCCTGACATGCATTCATGCCAGGCTGACCTTCCAATTCTTTGGACAAACATGCCCCCTTTTTGGGCATGTACGCCCCTTTTGGCAGGTCTTGTCACGTGATTCGCGCCAGTGGCCCACCCTTTTACCCCGCCCATTGACTTCCTGCTTCATTGGACACTGCTGTTAGGGGTTATGGATTTACTTGAAAGATGAAAGCATAAATTAGAGAGAAATTAGCATAGGGTATGTGTTTTCTTATAGCTGCATCCTAAGAGTTTCCCTCCAGCACCATCTCCATCAGATACATGACGCTTGGGAGGTATGATTATTTTAATGTTTTTGGTCGATATGATTCCGTAATTAGGCCCATCATAATTGTCAGCACCAGGCCCACTGTGCTCTTAATCCGGCCCTGCCTATACTAACTATTTTGCAGTTGCGTCTGTTTGGCCAACACCCATGCAGGCAGAAGAAATGGAGATGCCTACTTATGAGAACATAAACTTTGCACACAAGTATCGGGAAAGTGCTGTCTAATGTCGCAAGGTCTGTAATAACCCTTTCAACAATGGGGGTGTAGCACAGAGCATTGTGGTGAAAATCCAGCAACTAAAATGGAAGTACTAAGAACTATGTGGAAGCTGAGATTGCCTTGTTGTCAGACATCTTGTGACTATTAGCCATTCTTATGGAACAATTTATGGTGTCCAAAATGATTTCCTTATATTTCTTGAAAGACTGAATTTTTTCCTATTTCTGAACTATGCTGAACTATGGAAGTTAGCCGCAGACTAGGGATGTGCATGGAGAAAAATTTGGTTTCAGTTCGGCATTCTGAAATTCTGGACTTCGGCAATTCGGGACTTCGGCCATTCGGCACTTCGGCACTTCAACACTTCAGAACTTCGGCAACTTCGGCAACTTCGGAATTTCGGCACTTCGGAACTTCAGCATTTTGGGACTTTTTTTGCAGCCGCTAAGTAGATAACTCCCTAATTCCCACGGTATTAGGGAGCTATCTACCAAAAGGCTGAAATATCTAAATTGGTCTTTCATCCAAATTTACTAATACTAAGTAAAAATTAAACAGTGATCAGCCTGTGACCTGTTGTCGTCGTCCCTGGCCCCCACCCCTGAGCGGCGGGTGGGGGCCCTAAATATCAATAAGTCACCCCCCTCCAAAAAAAAAATAACCCCTACCTACCATCCTTAAAATTATGAGGGAGGACCCTTATCTAAATACCTGTAAAAAAAAAAAAAAAGAAAACTTACCATTTGATGTCTTCTTTCTTCTAAACTCTTCTTTTTCTAGCCCCAAAAAAGCCCAAATAAAAATCCATAATAACCGACGCACTTAAAAAAAACAGCGCAAAAAAAAAATCCATCTTCACTCATCGAGTGCTCCGCGCAGATTGAGCTCTGCAAGGCGAAAAAGGTTTATAAAGCCTTGCCCCGCCCTGCAATTAGGCTCAGAGCACTCTGATTGATGGGTTTAAGCCATCCAATCGAGTGCTCTGACAGGTAAATGAAGAGACTGGCAGGTAAATCCACCAATCAGAGTGCTCTGTGTCATTTTACACAGCGTGGGAAAGTTCTTTGGAATTTTCCCACGCTGTGTAATTTGACTCATAACAACACTCTGGTTACTTTCAATCCACCAATCAGAGAGTTATGAGTCAAATTACACAAATTTTAAAGTACGTTGAACACTTCGACACTTTGGAAATTCAGCAATTTCGGAACTTCGTGACTTCAGGAATTCATCACTTTAGCAATTCAGCTATTCGGACATTTGGAAGTACCTAAATGTCCGAATTGCCCGAAGTTAGTCCGAATTCGAATTCCTACCGTAGACAGAGGAAATGTTTTGATGTATGTTGAGTGTGTTAAGGATAGATTCCACAAGTTTTGAACTTTACTTGCACAGAAAAGTGAATTTTATTTTTACCTCCCCTGAGGTAGACAGACAACATTTAATATGCAGCTTTGATATTGCTTTACCTACCATTGACTTGCATCATTGTGATAATTTGATTGGACATTTAGATCAGTAGGTTATTTGGAAGGAATAGCAAATAATGGACTATGGGGACTTAGAAACATAGAAACATAGAATGTGACGGCAGATAAGAACCATTCGGCCCATCTAGTCTGCCCAATTACTTCTTCCTGTTATTCTACTTTTTGTCGCTATTTTTTGCCTTTGTACATTTAATTAAATTATTATCCTTCTATTAATGAGATACTACAAATAATGATATGGAGGATTGACTAGGCAACATTGTAAAAATAGTTGCACGTTTGGTAATTAGACATGTGCAATTCGTTTCGTTCCAAATGCAAATTCGGACGAATTTTGGAAATTTGGACATTCGGATGCTTCCCAATGTCCGAAGTGCCGAATTTCAGAATCCCGAACCGAACTGCCGAATTTCGGAAGTGCCGAAGTGCTTGGACTTTTTAAAAGTGGAAAAATAGGAGAGGGTTGGGGTTAGGGGTTGGGGAACGGTTAGGGGTAGGGTTGGTGGTTAGGGTAGGGTTAGGGGTTGCGGTAGGGTTAGTGGTTGGAGTAGGGTTATGGGTAGGGTAACCCTAACCCTATTCCTAACCCTACCCCTAACCCTAACCGTACTCCTAACCCTACCCCTACCATAACCCTAACCTTACCCCTAACCCTACCATAACCCTACCCCTAACCGTACCATAACCCTAACCCTACCCCTACCCTAACACTACTCCTTACCCTAAAACTGCCACTAACTCAACCCTATCCTAACCCTACCCTAACACTTCCCTTAACCCTACCCCAACCCTACTCCTAAACCAACCCTACCCCTAAACCAACCCTACCCCTTACCCTACCCTAATCCTACCGCTAACCTAGAGGTATCTAACCCTACACCTAAACCAATCTTACCCCTAACCTAACTCTACCCCTAACCCTACCCCTACCCTAATTAATTATTTTACCTATGCAATGCTTAGTGAATATTCCCCTAGAAACATAGAAACATATCTGTGTGTCTATGTTTCTACATATATATATATATATTAAGCTGTAGATGTATTGCATAATGAGAAATGGATTTAATAACATATATTATCTGTATCTACAGTTGTCTGGACAGGCCTCTCTTAATGGTTCTGATGGTGGAAAATGGCAAGGGAATATAGGTGAAGATAATAATTAAAGTCCCACAGGTATAATTAGTATACCTCTATATACCTTGCTTAAAACTCTCACCAGCAGTGCCAGAAGAGGGGACTTGTCATAGATACAGATAAAGAAAGGGTTAAAAGCCTTTGCCTTAGTTAAGTCTTTCCACATCTGCATGGGTTAAAAGTAAGAATTTATTTCCTAACTGACTGTCTGCTATCCTTATTTTTCCTATAGGTCAAGATAACCTTGCATATTTTAAAGAAAACGTGCTTTACATGCGCAGTAGACTAACTGACAGCAATACGTAATGTTCTATGAATAATTGAACTTTTCGCACTGAAACTTCTATGATTGGTTGATTTTGCCTTTTGTTGTATACACCCCTAAGAAAACTGTGTCTTATATATACAATTTATACGCATTAAAAATCTTGAATACTTTTTGAGCTACATCATGACTGGTGTGCTCATTGAGTGTTCCCTACAGTGAATTTACTCAGAGACAATGTGAGCAGAATGTGCATAAGTCTATGGCAGCGTAAGGGTTCTAGAACCTGTGTTAATTTACAGCCTAACATCTGACAACTTCTTATGGTGCAGGAGGTTGCCTTTAAACTGTACTTTGCCAGTAGAAGGCATGGGCTCCTCATGTAATGTGTGTGCATCTTTGTATTTATGTGTAATGTGTGTACACTACTCATAATATATATATACAGCAAGTAAGTATAAAATCATCATCCAATCCATACGCCGATATACACACATTCCCAGTCAAACAAATACACAGATACCCAGCTACACATTACAATTCATAATCAGTCAAATATTTACAAGCATGCCAGTCAAACATATACACTGCATACCCAATCACATATGAACATACATACCCAGTCACACATATACACACTTACCCAGTCACACATAAACGCACATGTGAGTCACACATGCAGACATTACAGGTAAACATCCATTAAACATAACATTGACACCCAGTTATGTACACGACATATGCAATCAGATAAATTACTTACACTCATTAACCTTAAAGGGACACTATAGTCACCAGAACAACTACAGCTTAATGTATTTGTTCTGGTGAGTATAGCCAGTACCTTCTGGCTTTTTGCAGTAAGCCCTGTTTTTTTCAGAGAAAATGCAGTGTTTACATTAGAGCCTATGGACACCTCCACTGCCCATTCCTCATACTAGAGGTGCTTCCTGAGACATTCAGTGTCTCCACCCTCTGCATGGAGACACTGAGCTTTCCTCATAGAGATGCATTAATTGAAT